ATTAAAAAAGAAATATTAGTATTATTAGTATTATTTTTATTCTCTATTTATAAAGGGAAATATAATGCTCTTCTTTTTTGCATGGTTGTCTTATAGAGCAGTAGACATAGAGTGCGGTTTTCTCTCCAGTATCCCAGCCAAATACTTAAAAGGATGAAGCTCACAGTTAAACAATGGAGCCAGCTCCCTACAGTCCTTATTTCAAAGGGGCTATGTTGTCTAAACCAGTGCAAAGAGAGAGAGAAACCCTACAAATAAAATCACCAGGTTGTGAAGGGCAATAAAATGAATGGATGCCCTCTGCAGAATTGTTCTGTGATACAGGGCAGATACAGTAAGAAGGAACATACTTTAAAATGTATTACTGCATGATCTGTCAATAATCTGCCAAAGTCAAACCTTTTGGCATACAGGAACTTTCCTAAATAAAGTAAGGTTTCTAAAGAGTAGTCAGATGGGACAGGGTTAAGGAAAAAAATGTGTTTCTTCACAATCAATGCATTTTATCAGCACAAGGAACAATGTATGAAAGTTAGAATGCGTCGGAATGCACATTTTTAACCACATTCTAGCTATATCTTTCAATGACATAAATACAAAAATCCCTCGCAAGAATAACCTTGTCAGAACACAATCAGTCTTTTATTAATGCATTTATGAATCCTTCTTGTGCCTTCCAGTCAATGAGTCAATACAGTCAACTGGTTTTCCTAAGATAGAAAACTTTGAACCAATATGACTGTATGATCTGGATTAACTATTCTCTGTAAAGTGCATTGAGATGACATGTGTTGTGAATTGGCGCTATATAAATAAACTGAATTGAAATTGAATTGAATGTTGGTTTCATTTAAAGTCAGGATATGTTTTTCCTATCTTTGATAAAGGATCTAGAGTTAATTGTTTAAAAAGACACAAAGACTTATGGAACTTATAAAATTATTGAAATAGTATATAAGCATTTATTTTAGTGATTCTCATGTTCTCATAAAGAATCAGCAATGAATACTGATCTATTAGCTGACTTTTATTCGTATAGACAGGCACAATAAGGTACAAGAAAAATAGTTTACAGATTTAAACAACCTTTTGTATAATATTTAAAAAACGAACAATGATTCAGACAAAATAATCTAAAAAACATTTCTTTGAGTTTTTCCAGAAACAAATTCTTTAAAACATTTGGTATATATTGTTTTTTTTTTCCACAAATGCAACAAAAACTTTGGTCTTTCTCAATTTGACAATCTGACAAACGTCAAATGCAACTATATTGTGTTATACAGCAAACAATAGCAGGCATCTCTAATATATCAGGCAAACATTCATTTTTAATATTTTGTAGGAGTATTATTGCTATAAAATAATGTTTTATGTGTTAGAACACCTTTGTTTGTTCGAAATGTATTTATTTAAACATTCCTCATTCCTACTCTTGGAAGATAACTTGAAACTACTTAAAATAGTGAAAAAATGTTTTACATTTCAATATACCGTATATATCTACCCTCTAAAAACCTGGAATGCCCTATAAAAGATTCTTCATTCAGCTGCAGAGATATTTAATTTCGATTTCAAGTTAAAAAAAGCATTTGAAAACAAAATACTTGAAATTCCGTAAAAATTCAAAAAATATCCACTGGTCCAGTGGATATTTTTTGAATTTTTACGGAATGACTATGACCTGGATGACTGAGAACCTTCATCAGCAAAATACTTGAAAGACTTTTTTTAAAATGTCTTAACAATTATCAAGCAAGTTCTTATGATCTACAGGAACAAAATCTGTGCCAAAGACATCCATCCATTTTTGGCAGCTCATCCGTCAGGGTCCATGGGGTTTGGTGCTTCTCTCCATTCAACATATTCTCATTATCAGTTCGTATGAAATTGTACGAAAAGTTATGTTGTACACCCTAGACAGGTTGTTGGTCCACAGCAAGGCAATTCATCAGGAAGGTATATTAAGGAAAATATCTGACTACAAAACATTCCTTTGAATACAAATGTTTAGGGTATGCAAAACGGTGTTACATTTTGTGGTATGCCACTAACTGCTAGATCATGACAGAAGTTTTACTTTAAAAGCCACAGGAAGAATCAAAATTGCATAAAACCTGGGAAAAAATGCAGTTACAGAATCAGAATTAGAAACTGTGGCTGTACATGCGATTTTAATAATAGAATAGCTGATTCAAATGGTGTAAAATGAGGCTCTAAACTGATACACTAAACGTGTCTACGAGTGTAGACAAAA